GATAGATAGATAGATAGATAGATAGATAGATAGATAGATAGATAGATAGATAGATAGATAGATAGATAGATAGATAGATAGATAGATATGTGTGACAGCCTGCTGCTGTCAAGGACCATTGGTAACAGAGTGAAAATGTGCTGAAACCAAGTACATTCGCTGGGCTGTGCCATTCCTTAAGAGTCCTGAGTCTTCACAACAAACTTCACACAGTTGGCTGAAGATGCTTCTAATCAGGGCTTTCGGCCTGGACTCCATGACCCCCCGGGGATAAAGCAGTAACAGAGAATCCGCTTGAAGCATCCTGAGAAATACTGAAACAAGATGAAGAACACCTGCCCTGGTCTTCAGTCACGCACTGATGGTGGGAACCCCCCGCCCTTTATCTTCATTGGGGGGTCCCTGGATTACGAAAAAGCCCTGATCTAAGCGTCAGGTCACTCTGCATCTGCAGGGTGACAACAACGTATCAGTTAACCGGTGACCTGGTCAAAAGCACCATCCATTCTGCACCATTTGCAGTTCCAGTGACATCAGGCCGGCCATCAGGGCACATTCCAGCTGAGGAGCTGGACGAAATGTGAGCAGGACAAAAGAGAATCTGAAGAAGCAGGCCATCTGCTGTGTCCCCGAGCGAGGAACCTGAATCACTTAAATAATAAAAACAGTAAAGGGTAACGCTGTCTGTGCCATGTGGGTTTCCAGTCGGTATGCTGGTTTCCTGACTCGGTGTAAGGACAACCATGCTAACTGGTGTCTCCAAACTGTATGGTGTGTGTGCGTGTTGCCCACGGTGGACTGGCATCCCATCCAGGGTGTACCCCGTCGAGTGCCCCATTCTACCCAGCCCCCACCCCATGGCACTCATCAGGGTGAGCAGTTTGAACATGGATGGATGGATGGTACTTGAGAACCTAAAAATCGTAAGTCATACAAGATGAAACATGTCTGGAAAACGGTTAAATAATATTAAAATTTGGCAACATCAGTACCTGAAAAACAGGTCTGGTCTCACCCTTGAGATTTCAGCTACTCTCCGAAAGAGTCGATACAACTTCAGGGCTGATGAATGGTTACATCTAATCTACCACGGAAAGGGACCACAGTTTATTGTTGACAATGATACAGCATCTTCACTGAGCCTTGATCTACCATGACAAAGCCACCATAACCTTGTTGATAATGACAGATCATTATTCTCAGTGGGGAAAAAACAGACATGAAATAAACTACTCAAACAGTAACCATGTGTGCAAAATATATAGTCAATTGCTTATAGCCCGAATTTGTGGGCCGTATAAAAACAGGCTGCAAATGGTCACTTTGTCAGCTAACGGGAAGAGGTTTCCAGCTAACATAGCGCGATCTCTCTATCATTATTATCAAAGCCCAGCTATCAACAGTTATTTCACACTTTTGTCCACTCGGAGATGCAGAGATAGATATCTGCCACATTCTTTACCGTGGCTGTGTTTGCAGGTACATTCATGAATGATATGCAACACATATGTAAACAAAGCACATTAAATTAGCAGCTAAACAAGGGAAATCAGTTACTGAAGGGACTGTGCTTTAAAAAAAAAATGTGTATGGCTGCAGTTGAAATTGCGCTTCTAAATTTTTCAGACATGAATGCATCACTTTCAAATCAGCTGCAAAAATTAAAATGCACAAAAATCACATGATTTTGCTTACTGTACTGAGTTGTGTTATGTGGAAATGTACTAAAATGTCAAATGAACGCCCCTTGATTGCCTAGGTCATCACTATGGCTACCAAGCCTCTACACATGCCCCTTTATCAAAAGCTATAGGCAATGCTGTCTTGCAATTGATCTTGCCTTGTCCTCTAGTGTTGTGGTAATCACACTGCTGTAATACGCCGCCTAGACTGCACACAATGCTGTTCTGTGTCTTTCATTCCCTGTCTTGCATCTGGTCCTATTATGCCACTACCAACACATGTTTAAATTACAGGGCTCCTACTAACCATCTCGTACAACATTTTTTTAAACGGAACTTGCCTGGATTTTAAAGCATCATTTAACCACAAAGCGGTCGTCTGTCTTTTGAGTAATGCATAATAATATTTAACTATAAATAAGATCAATTCACTATGATGCACAAAAGGGAGGAGAAGGTATAATGTGAATATTTCTAAAATGATCGGGAAATAATTAGAATAATTAGGTTGTAATCGCACAGTCTATTTGAAGATATAAAAAAACAATAGAAGAAGAAAAAAAACATTAACATTGCAGAAAACATCCGATCTTAAACAGTTTGTGAAGGTATTGGTTTCCCTCCCCTATTGCCACTAAGCAGTAATACTGTACCGTAAGTGCATTTTCGTTTCCACATTATCAACGTTTTAACCCTACAGGAAAATGATACGGGCTGCCAAATTTTATCATACGGCCGTACAATCCAGCTGCGCGATGTTGCAGAGCTGGATTATTCAACTATTATTTAGAAATACAGGGGTTTCATAATGTTCGTCTTAGTACGAGTCAGTCCTAAGATGCCTTTTCCCACAGTCCAAAACATTACCTGAATACAGAAGGGGAAGAAAATTAACACTCGATACAAAAATTCATTATTTCATCGGATCGTTCACAAAACAGGCAAATAGTTTCGGTGACACTGCGCAAACAGTTGACTTTTTAACGCCGATAAGACGCCACTTTAACCGAATGCTAATGAATGAAATCCAACTGTATACACATGGGCTGCTGTCCTAACCCCGTTTATGGATGCGAGCGTCCTCGTTATTGACCTCAGCCGCCGATTGATGGTTTAAAGGCGCACAAAGGGGGGAAACAAGCAGAAATCGCATTGCAATTGATCGCCTGGGTCATAAGTAGGAACTGTGTATAGAGGTGCAAGCAACAAGATTTAGGCAAATGCACTGTTTTGGCCATGCACGAGTTACTTACACGGTGGAAAACAAACAGAATTAAGGGATCACAAGATAAATAACCTAAACAAAGGAAATGATCCGGATACAATGTATGCATTCTCGCCTCTATTCAAATATTATCAGCGGGATCGCTGCTGTTACATATAAAAATACATCATCGTTGTAGACATCAGCGAACCGGAATACACTGGACTGTCATCATAAGGTGCTTTTAAATTTGGGCTGAATGGCTGAATGAGCTGTCAGACAAAGAGTTGAAATCATAGCAGATCGCGTAAAAGCCACGCTCCCAAACCTTACCTCTTCGATGTTATGCACGGCATTTCTACAACTTGGCATTTTCGTGATGAAAGACGAGGTTGTCGGCGAGCTGTAATCCTCCAAGGTCTCGGCGATGAACTCGTCCACCGAGATGAACTCAGGCATTTTTGTGAGTGAATTTGAATTAAGTAATCTACAATTACTGGGGGGGAAAAGTTTCCGATCGTCGGCCAAATCAGATTATGTGACAAGAAAGCCAAAATACATTGAGCCTAAGTGCTGGGACGTGCGCTCAAAAACTCCTGCGAGCCATCTCTGTGAATTAAAACTGAAAACAGAAAAAATAGGAAGGAGACGCTCACATGAGCGTGTGTCAGTCACGCCTGGCTGCTTGAGGAACGCGCATTTGTCGGGGGCGCGCCTCGGTGGTTCATTTACGGCGCAAATCGAAAACGCAAGTAACAGCAAAAAAGGGAGAAAGGTAAAATAAGACCAAAGATGTTTTTGTGTAAATTATTGATGATGTTAATATGCGAAAGTAGAAACAAACTAGACATTTAATTTAATTTGCAAGATACAGTAGGCTACGTTTTATTTGGTGGTGGGTAATAAGTGAAATTCTATTCGTTTCACTAACCTCAATAGCTGAAATTATAAGATGATTTTGCAATCGTTTCAGTAGCTTCATTATAAGTAACTGCACATTTAATACAATGGACCACTTCTGAGTAAAAACCGCAGCCTTGGAAGTAGCTCCAACAGGAAGATAAAAGATCAGGTTAATAACCAGTCACCGATTCAACATTTTCAAAATTTTCCCATTGTACTGAAGACTCATAATTCCTCAGCTGTAAGTGTATTTGTGCTCCCTGTCAGATATTAGCATTCTTTGTTGTCTTGGGAGATAGTGAGACGTATGACAGTTAAACAGTCTAAAATGTCACACCATGCTAATTTGTACACTTATGTTTCTCGTGAATTGATTTAAGTAACATTCTCAAAGGGGCAGCATCTAGCGCTAAAATGGAAGAAAAAAAAATCTCTGTCTGGGAAACATTTTGCAGATTGGATGTTGCATCCTCAAAAGATTCAAAAAGAAAATTACATTTTAAAAATAGAATTAGACGTTTAATTTAAATGAGGACTGAAAGCGGTGACCTTTCTAAAATAAATCATGGAAAGGAGAAAGATATCTCTGCTGCTGTATGTCTAAAATGTCAATTTCTGTCAAGAATCTTAGTCTGCTTGACAGAAAGGGTATGCAGAATGACCACTTCAGCTGAAACGGTATTGGGGGAGGAAGGGAGCTGAATGTCTCATTGTGGATGAAGCCTGTTTTAGTCCACATTTCCATTCTGAAAGTCCAGCTGATAGATGAGTCTGTAGCATGTTTAGTGATGATTGGTCTCCAAAACACAACTGAATGAAGGAATAATGGTGTCTTGGAAGGCACCTGTCGCAGCTGTCAGGACCTGTTAGGGTTACACTCAATCATCCATGCTCAGGTTTCTGCTCCAGCTTGCATGAATGCCCCCGAGGTCCTGCCGTGCGTCTCCGCAGCAGGAAGTTCCCAGACACATCGGTATGTCGATGTTTTGGGCAAAGGGCAGCGCGATGCTCCATAAAAGCAGCACCTCTCAGGTGCCACTGCTCTAAGGCTCCACATATATTGTCTTTCACATAAAGCCTCTGCAAAAATGTTTGGTAACTGTAACAGAATGCTAAAATGGGGCTTGGAAAGCTGGACACGCCTCTCAATTTACAGAGATCCATCAAGTAATTATAACTCAAAAGTGATTACTCAGAACACTACAGTCAAAGGTAATTTATAGGTAATATGTGAAAGGTAGTTTATTTGTTCAGATCAGAGTTTTAACCAAAACTGACATACACGGTTCAGATTTAATATTTTCGCTCATTTAGGAAGCTTCATAAGAAGTGATTTAAGATTAGGTACAATGGCGGGATCAGCTAATCCAGGTAGCTGTTTATGACTTATTGGCTTTGCTGCTCAGGAACCACCTTTTAAATAGCACTTTGTAATCAGAGAACTATTTCACTTGTACCTCTGACATCTCTGTTGACCGTTACAAACATGATCAATGTATCAATAATCAATGTGTTATCTGGATACACATCCTTTGCACATTTACTGTCCAGCAATCCATCTTCTAACCACTTATCCTGGGCGGGGGGGGGCCTGCTTTAAAAATAGAATTAGACATTTAAGTTAAATGAGAACTGAAACCAGTGACCTTTTAAAAAATATTGTGGATAGGAGAGATATCTCTCGTACAGCATACAGGGCACACGGTACATGGAGGCAGTACACCCAAGGTACAGGGTACAGGGAGGCAGTACACCCAAGGTACAGGGTACAGGGAGGCAGTACACCCAAGGTACAGGGTACAGGGAGGCAGTACACCCAAGGTACAGGGTACAGGGAGACAGTACAAAACACCAAGTAGGCTACATTTTCCAGTTCTGATTTCTAGGATACCCTGTCACCCTGTGGTTGAAGATGGATGGATGGATACCCAGAGAGTCTACATCAGGGGCGTCCAATCTTATCCGCAAAGGGCCGGTGTGTGTGCAGGTTTTTGGGATAACTTGTAGGTCAGCTGTTAAAACCCAGGTGTGAGGACTCTTCAGCCAATCAGTCCTCTAATTAGTAATCTAGTTAGGGAGTTGCAGCGAAAACCCACATACACACCGGCCCTTTGCGGATAAGATTGGACACCCCTGGTCTACATCAATTGAATGTATTCTACCCTTTATACTGAGAACAAACAGCCCTCAGAAAGGGGTACATATGCACGTCGCATGATGTACGTTTAAGTGATATAGTATATTGTTTACAGTACATAGTTGGAAACATGAAGGAAAATTGCCTTCAGTTCAATTACTACCTTTGATCATCTTTATTTATACTATAAACAGCACAACTATATTACATTGCATTGTTCATGATAATGTAATCAGTACACTGGCAAGACCACAAATGTGATGCACTACATATACAGTAAAAAACAAGAATCCCAGATGGTTGTTTTTGGGCAATTTTGATGGTCTTATTACTGTATTATGTCTTTGTTTCTGTGTTCTTTGGCCCTTACACAATCTCCTGCGAACGGCACTCCACCCAAACTGCAGAGAATATCCAAAATGAAGGCCTGCCTTATTCAGGTCAGCCATTAACAATCAGCTGACTGATTTGGCCAGGCAGGGTGTAGAGAATGAGGGCAAGGAACAGGGTTAGAATGGCGAGAATCAGCAGAGCAATGATGTACTTCTTGTATTTTTTCCAGATGAAGAAGACGAAGGTCTTCATGGGGTTCATGAACCAATTGAAGGACGTCTTGGGTCGACTGGGGAGGTACAAGGAAGAGAGCAAGACGTTACTTACTTCAGCAAAACACTGATTCTGCGTCAACAGTGACCCCCCTTGGTAGCCCTCTTCCAAGCTACCTGCTGAACATACAGTTTGCCAAACTGAAATAATTCACCTTGCAGCACTTCCTATTACTGTTAGATGGTGGTGCTTGTTACTTGCCCAAACCCCATTTTCTTAACCATAACTACCCATTTCTCCATTGCAGGGTCACGGGGGTCTAGAGTCAACAGGCACAAGGCAGGGAATGACCCAGGTTGGGGTGCCAACCCAACGCAGGGTACTCACACCATTCACAGACAATTTGGTGGGGGGGGGGGGGGGCAGAGGAAACCCCATGATGGCACGGGAAGAAAATGAAAACTCCGCCCCCACAGAGCCAGGTGGGGACCCAAGCTCTGGTCTCCAGAGGAGTGAGACTAATGTGCTGAGCTCCATGCCACCCTTAACCCCAACTCTACATAGTAAGATAGACACTTTTCCGTATACTGTAAATATCCCTGTACTGTGCAGGACGTCGGGCACAAACGCAGGCCTGCGCCGTGACAGAGCTCGGCTCCTCACTTGGGCTTCTCCAGCGGCTCTGGCTCCTTCCGCGCTTTTCCCACAGGATTTTTCTCTGCATCTTCCACTGTCACCAACTGGAACTCAGCCTCCACTTTACCCTGGATGTCCAAAAAAATGACATGAAACATATAAAGCCACTGGGACAGTGAGTACAGCAACCTATAATGTCAATCCTGACACGGTCTCCATGCTGCCTTCAGGTGATGCGCTATAGAGTATATGTCAGTTGAATGTGCCCCAGAATTTGGCTCCCATGTTGGAAAAAATAAACAGCAAATGAAAACACCAGGACACAAAGCGGTTTAATTCAGCTCCGACCCTCTTTTCTGTGTTTTCTGTCTTCAGCCTAAATAATGCAGTGCTTTCCCTGCGCCCCGTCAAGGAGAAGCGATCACCAGCTTTACCATCAGGAGGTAAGTGTTCCCGCTGGCATCCACAAACTGCAGGTCCTCTGGCTTCATCTGGCTCCTCTTGCTCTTCTTTTTCTTCTTCTTGTTCTTCCTGGCCTCCTCCGCCTCGCGCTCCTCCCTCTCGATGTCCTCCAGGCTCTTGAGCTTAATGACAGGCCACCAGCCTTTCATCCTCTTGCTGCGGAAGATAGAGAAGCGAGGGTTGGCCTTGTCCTTCGCCATCTTCACGCTGCACTGCTCTGAGGACTTGGCTGCCCTCACCATATCATTCAGGCGTAGCTCTATGGAGCCTGCAGGTGAATGGAGAAGCGTCAAAAAAAGCAGGGTAAGCTATTCTTAAATCCACATATCGGTGTCACATTTTGGATGATGTAAAGGTTGGGAACTTCTCTCCAAGTTCTGCTTGGCTCAGCAGGTTAGGACTCTGTGCCTGTTATCAGAAGTTTAATGGTCCAAATCCCATAGTTAGCAGAGTGATGTCACTGTTGGGCCTTTGAACATGGGCCTTAACCAAAATTGATCGAAGGACTGGCTGACCATCTTCTCTCAAATGTACATCAGTTTGGATGAAGTGCCTACTCATCATTTGACTTTATTTAGTAAAACTGACATGAAACTTCAGCTTGATGTTTACACTGTGTCACATTAAGAGTGCCGATCAATGGCCTCACCCAGGAAGTCGTTGGTTCCGATGCGATCATAGTCCCAGACCTGCAGCACAAGAACCGCAGGCTGCCGGAACTCCGTCTCATCTATGGAGAAGATGGACTCCTTCTTCTTGTAGATGACCTCCTTTTCGGTGGGGAGGTAGTCAAAATGGAACACGAAACGCCAGTTGAAGTTGCCCTCCCCTGTCAGCGAGTTGAAGTGAACGTCTGTCTCCTGTTTGTCATTTTCCAACCCCTTGATCCAGCTGGTCAGCGGGGGTAAGCAAAGCGGCAGGAAACACATGAATGAAAATAAATACAATTTCCAGGAAAGAAGCTTTATGAATACAAAATAAGGTATGAAAATCAGCTCTGCCTTACCCTTTGACATAAATATCACTGGAACGCTCACCAGTGAAGGGATTCACATCATCCAGCACAACATCGTCTGTATTCCATATAATCACGCGAAGTTCGTAGCTTTGGAGCCAAAGGGAAATGATTTTATTTCAAAATTGTATTCCCAGCCATATTTACATTCAAATGTCAGTGATATTAAAATTGACCTAGACGTGTCAGTTCCCGTCGATATGTACTTTAGCTGAGAAGAAAAATATTTGTTTTTCACAATTATTTTACTTGTAAATTAACAGGTTAGAAAAATTCACCTTTTAGGAACACTAAGCATTTTATGATGTCCTTTTATAATTTTGTGTGAGTCTGCATAGCAATTCTATAAATCAGACACATGTTCACCTGACTGGTAGTCGGGGTTTGATGTTGATGGGTGGTGGCGCTGGCACGTCAACAGGGAACATGTCGATCCACATGTGGGCATATCCCTGCCGACAGCAAAGCAGCAGTCAGAGCACCGCACTCAGACACAGGGCAGAGGGGCAGGACAGGGGCGGCTGGCGGTCATCACCTGAGGCAGGCCGGGCTTATCGGTGTTGAAGAGGGAGCGGACCTCCACGTGCTCCGGCACCAGGGGGCAGGAGCCCACGCAGAACTCCCTCATCTCCCCCCAGCGGTGGAGCACACTCAGAGCCTTGTGCTCGTCCAGCTCATTCAAGTCCTCCTCTGTCTTCTTGTTTTTCTTTACCAGGTCTGTGAAGGCATGGTGCAGTTCAGGGGTCTCATTTAATTTGGCAAGGACCTGGGGGACACAGCTCACACTGACATACAATATGCCGGCTGCAGAAGTGAACTTCGGTCTATGTGGCTTAATGGACGCACCACAACATAATACTGAAGGTCAGGATCTAAGGGCCTAAACCGAAAGGATGCAAGCTGAAATTCCTGCAGGAATTTGATAAATTTAACTACATTTATTTGCACAAATCTAACATATCCTTCTAAAACTATGACAAAGCTACTAATTAAAATACAGCGATGTGTATTTTTGATGTTATTAATAAGCAAATGTGTTTAGCTGCGGATGTGCACCCACATCCTCAGGTGTAACTTTTATGACGTCATACATCACAGTAGGAGGTTAGGCAGGGTGTGAGCAAGCTCCGACCTTCAGGAAATGCCTCGCTGGGTATTTTGAATATCTTGTTGAGCACTTTGACTTCCGCCTCACGGTACTCGGGCGACCCGATGCCGTTCTTGCGGCAGAGATCGGCCAGAATGGCAGATGGCTTCTTCGAATCCCTCCACTGATTGTAGCCATCCCTGCAGGGAAGACGGCCGCGTAAACTTACTGCGTCACGATCAGGTCTAATAAACAGCCATTCCAGGGGCAGCAGGTCACCTGTCCAGAAACCAAAAGCTTGCCAGGACGGCCTCTTATGCCGCACTGAGCCGGCAGGCTTATCTGCATGGCACTTTCCTCTATACAAACCTTTTGTCAGTGTTTGAATGTAGGTGGTTTCGTGTTTCTGGCTATTGTAGTTCTTATGCTTCTGGGTGTTTGTTACTTTATACAGCTTTGTTTTACCCTGAGCTGAGTTTTCAGGCTGCATCAAATTGCTTAAATAAAAAATGCATAAATAATGTCTCTCCATTTAACTGAATGACTACATAAAAATGAAATGAAATAAAAACTTGATGCATTTGCTTATCACGGGGCACACCCACAGAACGACTAAAACTAAACTTAAGTCGTAGTTTCACATAAATATGAAGATCATTTAAGCATAATTTTCTTAGACTTTTGTAGGGTCCTGTGTATATGCCCCAGTACATTGTAGCTTCAGTACCTTGCTAATTGGGAAACAGTGGAGACCCGTTGTTACTGGTGCAGGTGTACCATGTGACCCACCTGTCATAGTAGAGGGCAAGGCCACACCCTGCACGATGCCAGCTGTAGAAGCGATTCTCAAGGTCGACGCGTGTCTCACCGATCATCTCATCAGAGCCGACCATGTTGTGGTCAAACACCATGAGTATGAGCTCCGTTTCCAGGGGGAATGACACCGTCAGCTCAAACACTCTGTTGCCATGGGAATGGGTGTGAAGCAATGCAGTCATATGTGATAAGTGGTGTGATTTAAAATCATGTACACAAGCTAAGATAATGATTTCCTCAGAGACTACAATACAGTTCATATTCCAGGGTTACAGCCAAATGCTTCCTCTCTTTGTGTGTTAATCTGCTTGAAGTATAAATTAGACTCACTCTCCGAACACGGGATTGAGCTGTTTTGGAATGTAGCGATCCTTTGTATCCATCTGCTGTGCTCCCACCTTCACCACCACATAGGGGTCTGCCTTGCCATTGGGATCCGTGGGGGCCAGGTTTGTAGCCTGAAAGATATTTCAGAAAGTGTGTATGAACCATAATGCATTGCACTAAAAACTAAAAAGTAATGAAGCTTCATTTGCCATCTGTAGGAGTATGAGAACAGGTACACTGGATATATCCCATCATGCTCTCCTTTTTAAAAGACATACACACACTTATAGAGGTGAGAGTGAAGACTGGGGTCTGCCCACAGGGTCAGCCATCCATCAAACACCCCAGAGCATTTTTCAGGGGGGGGGGGGTTCAGGGTTAGGACCCAGCAGACATATGGCTACTCTGCCGAGAACAGCATTCAAACCGTCAGCCGTCTGATCGTTAAGCCACTGAGCCAAACCCATGTCATTCCAGTTCCTCAAGTACAACATGCCCATACTAGTATAAAGAGACTGCTTTCTACCGTGCTACAATTTGTGTTCTTCCATTTGTCATAATTTCAGTCATTTGACCCTTTCATTTCCCAACTGGAGAGTTAGCTTGCAAATCCTCCGCCTACCTTGACCATGTATACTCTGACAAGAACTTTGATGGGCACATTTTTGGGGATCCCACTGGTGATTTGGATTTCTTCATCCTCATCCTCCATTGAAATGGGGTAAATCAAAAAGGACCCCTGGTGCAGAAAAGGAACCAGTGTGACCCAGAGAAACTCCTTTCGTTTAGTGGCTATTGGTCGTGAAATTCACCAGAGGCTAACTCTGCACTGACAGTGTTTTGGCTAAGAAAAAGCATAGTCATTAAGGACAGGGACCAACAATAGGTTCTGTTGTTAAATATTTAATTAAGGAACTGAATCTACACTAAAGACCCACATGCATTGTTAAATTAAAGGGGAAGTTTACGCCAAATGGACACATTTACATAGAAGGGTCAGTCAAACAGGCAATTTTCACAGTACATTGACGGACTATTTCTATGAATATTTTCACTTGCCCACTGTGAGTCTGCGAGAAGATCACCTTATATTTCCCCATGATACGTTCATCCTCATCCTCATCTTCATCATCGTAGTTGGCCTTGCCTTTGTAGACTGGGAACGTGTGCAGCCAGTCCATAAAATCATTAAAGTCGTTCTCTAGCTCAGATTTGTAAAGCTGGGGAAACATCAAGAGGTTTCTGCCGCGGGAGGTAGCTTAAGTCGGGGCATCTGCCCTAAATCAGGCTGATGGGTAAAAAACACTGCCTGCCTCCATACCTTCAGCGTTGCTATTTTCTTCCTTTTGGGCTTTGGAGGCTCCATTTCAATTATCACCGTGTCTTCTTCTTCCACATCTATTGATGCAATGTTAAGATTTCCACCTTCTGGAAAACACAGGCATCCAGCAATGTAAAACAGCAGTGGTGAAATAAAGATTTTTTTTTTGCTGTCCATCATATAAGACAACAGGAAGTTGACTGGTTAGGCAATAATACTAGTCGCCAAAATGTTCAGTTCTGGTCCCAGTTCAAAGAGTGTCCTGCGAGTGTACACTTGGGACAGAGAAAAATATCAAGCCTTGCAAATGTGGAGCTGGATAAACTGTAAGCTCTAACCACAAATGAGCTGGAAAAGCCCAGGCTGCTATGGCATTTTCAAATTTTGTTTAAACAACTTAAACAGAGTAAAATATAAATGACTGGCATCCCATCCTGGTTTACCCCAGTCGGGTGCCCCATACCTACGCTGGGATAGACCTCAAGCCCCCTATGACCCTGTACCGCTATAGCAGTTGGACGATGGATGAATATATGTATATATCATTTTCCATACAGTGTTGTTAAACTAGACAGTTTACTGAAACAAACTGGAACCGCTCTGAATTTCCTTAGCAAACCTGCCAACTTGTTCAATAATCTAGAGCAACAGTCTAACTACCTGCTTCCTGATCTTCAATTTCTTCATCCTCCTCAGACTGTAACCAAAAGAAGGAAATAGAGTCACTGATTCACAACAAGCCAACATCCAGGCGCATTCAAACATTCAAGCTGAAGGTAAATATTGACTGTTGCATTATTGTTTTTCAAGGAGTGCATACAGTACTTTCTCTTACATTTTCTGTATTAAACAATATTTGAGGGGGAAAAATTCTACCTGCTTCTCCAGTTCAGCCAATGAGGCATAGTATTTGGACCACCAATCCAGTTCCTCCTTTTCAGGCCCCTCCTCCTCAAGCTCCTCCTCCTTCTGTTTACCTTTCTTTAATGGAGCCTGGTGAAAGGTTTCACAAGACTATATAAGTTGTCAGAAATGGACTGGTCAGGAAACACATCTTTCAATGTCTGTTACTTGTTTAATAATCAAATAGCAAAATTTGAAAGGATGTGGCATTGAAATTGCTAATAGTTATGCATGTTGTGTGGTATATAACCTTAATGGGGAAGGATGAAGGCAGTGGGAGAGGCTCAGTGTTACTTGGATAATCACTGATGGCTTCTTACCATGAAACCAGGATGTCCTGAGCCTGTGCATATATAACATAGCCACTCAGCACACGTGTAATCACAGACTGCGAGAGCTGTAATATGCAAGCAGATGGTGCTGTAGGTAATCTACCATGAAGCCAATTTTCTTGCTTGACAGAGAGGTCACAGATGTGAGGCTGGTTCCCTGTTAATTTGGCAAACTGCACAGCTGGAGCCTTGAGCAAACAATGGCAAAGTCAGCTGTGCATGAATGCAAACTATTCCAATGGGCAAACTCTTAAAGTGGTGCGTGTCTGTGCATGACTAAGTGTGTGTGTGTGTGTGTGTGTGTGTGTGTGTGTGTGTGTGTGTGTGTGTGTGTGTGTGTGTGTGTGTGTGTGCAAAGGCATGTCAGGGGACCCTTTGCTCTGGTTTGGGTGGGTGAGTGTCAAAAGTGGTGGGTTAGAGTCCAAATTACTTTGGGAAATTCTGCCTTAGAAGTCAAGATTGAATATGGTTTGGGACAAAGAAGGAATCTGGATATATTTGGCAACAGCTAATTAAGTGCTATTTACAGATATCTCTTAGGAATTTAATCAACTACTCATTCACACCATCCCATATAAGGTAGTTTCAGACTCAGAGCTTGGTTTGATTGAAATGCTGGTTATCTGAGGCCTTCGACAATGCATTAACCAAAAAATGCACAAAACTAAGCCCTAAGACGTATCTTGATTGCCATTACATCCATCTATCTTCCAGTAGCTTATCTTGGTCAAGGTCATGGGGATCTCCATTACAAAATAATAAAATGTTAAGTACAAAAAAACTTCAGCCCATTTTTTCAGATGCAGTTGGCAGAACAGATTCAGTCACTCAGAGCAGCATTGATTACACGGTTGATGAGCCTCAGTTATACAGTTCATGTGTTTCACTGCTGGGGAAAGGGACACAGATGCATGGATATGAAATCAACAACTGACTCTTCATTATGTAAGTGTTTACCCTTTCAAATTAAAAAAATGTTCATACTGTATATATTGCAAATAGAGGTTTCCCCCGCTATCTCAAAGTAGAGCCCTACTATACACCTAAGTTATATAATCTAAATGATAAAAAATTCAGTATAGAAAATACATTAACCAGTAACTTAGTTATTATCATTACTAAGTATTATTTACTGCGTATAATTGTATGTGCTATACTTTTACACGACTGGCAGTGCAGTAGATTTGTTTGCACCAGCATCACCAAACACGTGAGTATTGCATCGCGCTATGATGTTACGATGGCTGCGATATCAGTAAGCGATTGGGATTTTTCAGCTCCATTATAGTCTTATGAGACTTCTGTCATATGTGGTCCGTTGTTGACTGAAGCATCACTATGCAGCATATGACTGTATATATATATATATAATTAGCTTGCTGATAAAGTAACACTAAACACTTTTTGCTTTTCTCCTTTTTTCGTAAAAGCAAAAATGCTCTTCAGATTTCTTCTGGTTAATGAAAACTGGAGCTAAAGTAGGTCTTTCATAAAAGCAAAGTGATGCAAAACAAACAATCATAAGGTGTGGGGGGGTACCTGTATAATATACAGTATAAACACATTCTTTTGATTCTCTTGAAAACAGCTGTAACTACATACAGTAACTATATATTGAATAAGAAGGTAGCCATATGTCCAAAATTCTTACTCATGTGACAAAGACACTTCCTCAGTTGTAGAGTTGGGTAATTCAGGTCCAGAGAGTAAGTCCAGACCAGGATTTTGTTTCAACCAACCAGTTGAGTACTCTGTGACTGTTACTCTTTATGCTCAACTGGTTGGTTGAAACAAAATCTTGGTCTGGACTTTTACTCTCTGGACCTGAATTACCCAACTCTGCTCAGTTGTGACAATGTGCTTTGTCTGTGATTAAGAAGAGACCCTTGGCATCACTTTGTTGGCATTCCTATTCCTATGATTATACAGTATAAATATGTTGTGTGGAACTCACTGTGACAAAGTTTAGCGGGTTGATGGGAATCTTTGAGTCCTTGATCGGCAGGCCTCTTAGGTCCATGCTAATCACTGTGTTCAGAGCTGTTGCTGCTTTGGCAGGTTTCCTGGCTGAAATGCAATAAATTTATTAATCATCATCGTTGTCCTCCATCAGTCACCCAAAATGTTGAGCCTATTCCCTTTCCTCATGCTTTCATTTTTTCTACCAAAACAAATTATTGTTATTGACTGTATAGATCTAGCTATGTAGCACATAGCAATAAAGAGAAGATGTACATCAATCCCGGGGTTCCTAATGCTATCCCCGCAGCGTGAGCCAGCTGCCCATAAAATCAGACTGACCTACAATGGAAATAATTTGCCCTGAAAGATGCTTAAGTGTGTCTCTTAAATGAAAACAAGAAGCCAGAATGAAGAAGACAAACTGTCCAATTTGAAAGCGGAGCAGGCTAGGATGATTAATGGACCATGTGTCCAGTATCACATGACACACATTTTTTGAGGACTCCCTTAGGATGTAAACTCTGACTGGATAATGGAGATTGCCATATGGTTCTGTTCTTTGGTAATTAGTTCGATCCAACTGTTGTTCAAATGTGCCTTTAAAAATCATTAAAATAAGCATTAGCTTCAAAGCGCAATGTGATTGCGTTTCCCGCGTGTATGATACAGTAATTTAAGCATATCATGTATTACCTGAAAAACAAAAAAACATCTTATCTGAGATGACTGAATCTTGTCAAATGCAAAAGTTTTAAACAATTTTGTTCAGAATTTAACAATTTCATGGATATCAAGCGTTTCCTATGATAAAACCCATTTCTCTGTTCTTTCATCATATATTATTTCATACCAGAAATAGTTTTGATCTATGAAAAATCTCATATTTTTTAGCATAAAAATAAGGTAAAATATGTTAATGTTTAGTCAATATCTAGAGTAAATATTTCTCATTGTGATTCTCATGCAGTCTGTTGGTTGAGAAAATGGATTCATTAGTCTTTAAAGACAGGTAAACTGTCATTTATGGAAGTCTAGTGTAATCATGTTATTTGATGCAGTTTCACAAAATCTAGGAAGGTGGCAGCACTGAGCAGGTCTGTACAGCAGAATGGTGAAGCTCTTTACTAAACTGCATGCAGTACAAGCACATGGCCATGTTGTTTTGCTAAAATATGCACCTGTATAGATAAATAAAGATTTAAAATATAAAATCAACAAGTTGTTGTGGATGGTATTAGCCAATGAGCTATTCAGAAGTAAAATAATTGTTATTTTCGTTTCTATTGAATAAAGTGCAAGACATGCAACATCGAAGTCTTACGCTCAGGCTCTATCTCTTCCTCTTCCTCCTTCCACTCATCTAGATTCTTTGGTGCAAAGTGCATGAGGCTTTGGACGACGTGTGTGCCCACCAGGACCAGCCGGCCGAAGGCACGCTGCTCCATGACGAAGACGGTGAGCGGAGGGTGCAGGTAGACGAGTTCAGGCAGCTCCTGAATGAGAGAGCGGTCATCACAGCTGGCGTGTGACGCCCGACTCGTGCAACATCATTTTGCAAGATACTCCAAGATATGTTCTAAGCAATTTGGATTTTTGTTGGTTTTAGAAACTGCAAAGAAACCAGGAAAAACTGAATGGTGTTGTAGACAAGACGCTTCCAGCCTGCTCTGTGGTCACTCACCACATCGAAGTGCTTGACAATGTCTTTGAAGTTGGGATTGAGCTTGTAGTTCTCGATTTCCTCAGACTGGATTCTCTGGCCAGCACACTCGATCCACACCTGTGGCTTCTCCACCTCAAACAGGTTCACGCGCTTCAGGTCCCTTAGACCCCAGTACAGCACCTGAGCAGCACCATGTCAATCAGCCCTCAAATCTCACCGTTCACTAAATGATCTTTTCGCCAGCAGTTGCTGTAATGGTTGACAGGGCAAGGAGTCCGTGGGCAGTTTTAGAATAAAATAACTGCAAAGTGTACTGATATCCAATGTATCATCCATCCATCATTCATCCATCAATCCATCCATCCATCCACCCATCAATTCATCCATCCAATCCTTCGAAATACTGATTTAGTGCAGGGTTATGGTGAGCCTATTCCAGGAGACACAGGACACAAAGCATCAGGGACGCTCTGAATGGGATGTCATTCACACACAACCACAGTTCACTATAGCAGCTTACCTTTCGACTGTGGGAGGAAACAGGCATTACTGAAGGAAATCCATGAAAAGGCAAAGAAAATATGCAAACTCTACATTTCAGCAATTATTATTTAAAGCAACTATTTGGATACTGAAACAGCCTTGTCTTTTTAGTGTCAGTCAGATGCTTAATGACATCTCTGTAGGACTGGAGCTGTCAACCTCTGAATGAAGGAAACTTGGCTCCAGAGGATTTCTAAAGAGACTCAGAGTCAGTGTATTTAAGATGAACATGCAAACATTCACTTTATAATCTGCCTAGCAACTACAGTACATACAATATGCATGGAATGGCCTCTGGGACCCAGCTGCTGTTGTGCATATAAAATCTCTTCTGCAACATGTTGTGAGCCCGATCCTGAATGAATGAGTGCCCATTGGGATTGCTATCTAATTGCCAACCCTTGCTCATCTTTGCAAGAAATTATTAGTTTGCAGAAATGTTCCCTAATAAATTTCAAAGACCAGGCAAGAAGCAGAACAGAAGAAGTGAGCAGATGAAGAAATTCTAAAACTTGTGAAACTTCAAGTATCTGCCAGAGAATCAGCATTTGCTTCCCTGCCCATTGCTGTTAGTGGCTCTTGTTCCCTTTCATCTCATCCCTCATGCCGCCCGATCGCCCGTAGCGACACCAGCCTCTGGATGAGAGATTAAGGCCACTGACCTCGATTCGGAATTTCCGCAGCACGGGCCTCACTCCATCCGGGATGACGTAGTACCTCTCCTCGGGCAGGTATGCGGGATCTCTGGGGTCCACATCGGCAGGCAGGGAAGGCTAGGGGCACCATAACAGAGAGAGAGATCCCAGATTAACCCTTATTACATTTTTCATGTAATTATTATGGGCATACATCTGCCTGTCTCTGTTTTATTTAGCTCATGTTGTCCTTCACAGACAATTTTACCCACAGCAATATTCTATGCATTAACAGTTGGATGATTTACTGGAGCAAGTCAGAATAGATATCTTGCTCAAGGTTACTAGAGCATGACTGCTCCTGGGATTTGAACCAGCAACCAGAGTAGAGCTCCATTTAACCACTCAGCTGACTACTGCCCTCTATTGATTATTTTCAGTATCTCTGTCATCCCTGCTCACACTCAGTATACTTCAGCAAGCTAGACTGGTGACATATATTGAAATATGTTCTGCTTTCTAGTAGTAATAGGAAATGCCTCTCTTAAGGGTCACGGTGCAGTTGCACAGGACACCTTCAGTCTTCCCCTTAATTATGATACTTAAGGTTTAATTTCTCCTTAGCTGAGGGATTTATTTAAGGGTGTTGCACAGAATCCCTTAAAAGGTTTCCTTAGTTAAGGAAAAACCTTAAGGGGATTTATTGCATTTAAAGAGATTTTACAGCAGACCGCACCAAATTGTAGTTTCCATGGAGATCGATTGTTTGCTTGTACTCACGCCTGTTTGTGATAAATGTTATTGCCTCCAGTGTTATTTTCCATATATGGCTTGATAATTAAAATAAAAACGTGACTAAAACATGCGTTAATGACAAAATGAAGTTAAACATATTCGTTTGACGAATATTAATAAAAATGAAAGCCGGATTTTGTCACCACTGCATCCTTATCTGATAAAAATGTAGACTGTACAAGTAGGTGCTTTTCGCTTGAAGAAAAACCACTGAGTAGAACATATGACGATAAACTTTGCTTATTGTTTGACGACAAGCACTGACGCTAACTTGGAAGATATGTAGTAGTGCTGGGATAAGAGATAGGAATAGTGGAACAAAAATTGAGTAAGTTGAATTATTTTTGTATCTCAGTTACATTAAAATCATTGATGAGTTCCTTTTTTGTATGCGTCTCTATATTTCTGCATCGGAAAATTCGATTAATAACCGATTTACTTCGGCCTCTATCTTTTTTCCAGTGGCAGTGAAATTCGCCAACGCTTATTAGCAGAATAATGTTACATCATTTTTTATTCTGTGGATGAAAGATCGATCTGCTAGCCAGATTTAATAATGAATTATGAACAACACGTTAATATAAACATATAAACAAAATCATAAACCAGTCAAATCTATAATGCAAAATCAATTAATCATCATTGTCTCCCAGTCGCGGAACTCTCTTCTTGGAATGCGTTCATTTTCTTCGTTTATCGCCATAAACTCAGTCATGTCACGGTAAAGATACAGTCGATGTACCTTAAGCTGTTTTTCTTACTTTGGTTGCTAAGGGTTTTTATGCAACCGTTTAATGAACTTTAAGGGATTCCGCAATTATACAACCAAAATAAGAAAAACTTAAATGCTTAAGTGAACATTTTAAGGAAACCGTATGGAGAAGACTTAAGGGTGTTTTGTGCAAATGATTTTATTTTAAAGAAACCTTAACCTTAGACTCTGAAAATCTTAACGTAAGGTGTTTTGTGCAACCGGTTCCTGGTTTCTAGGAATGGGCATTTTTGTCAAAATGCTTGCAAGATGCATTGTCTTCCATGAAATTTCACGGTTTATCGACAGCACCTTTTTTAAAGCAGGCTCCTAATTCTTTACTTTCCTGTTTCTTTGCCAGCCCCCCATACCCCTCAATCTGGCATGTGACGGTGGCTTTTCAGGGCTGTGGTCCTAAGCGATGGTTTCCAGGCAGCCTCACCTCCCCAAAGTGGGCGTAGTCCAGCTCGATGAGCTCGAAGGCGGCCAGCAGTTCCCCGGCCTGGACCTTGCCCATAGTGATGTCGAAGAACTGCAGCGCCGGCTTCTTGTAGGCCTCCTCTACAAACTTGATCTCTGGCTCTGCGAAGGCACGACCGAGCGGCTCAGCGCTGCCCTGGAGGAACGGCAAACAGCACAGGAGCGCACACAGTTCATTAACTAACGCATCAATGGTGGGGAAGATGCATGTGACACGCTGGAAATGCATGCAACACCTAACATGCATACCAGTCACAGGAAGCCAAGGTATACAGGGCAGTAACATGCATGGGTACGTAGAGAGCATGAATCCACAGAGATCATGGAAGCTAAAACATGCGGCAGACACTCTACGTTATCAGAGAAATGTCATCATGCATATTTGTAGGGAAACTTATTGAAACACAGCACAGCTGTGCAGGAGGAGAATTACAGAGCTTACAATCTTGTCATAGTCGAAGAGGCTGATGACGACTATGGGAGGGTCTGTCCTCATCTCCTCTTTGCTGCCCTCGATGAGGATTTGCTCGAACAGCAGCAGCTCACACCAGGTAGGGGACAGAGTCTCCTCCATTATCTGCCATCCACACAGAAGAGATGCTCGTGTGAGACAGTATACAGAAGCAACAGCAGCTTTTGTAAATCGAGCACACATCTCAGACATTTGCCAGATGGCGAGACGGCAAGAAAAAGAAACACGGATGATGGAATTGATTAGGAACAAAGCGGATAAGAGCTGGACTGTGGGAAGGACTCACCCGTGTCACCTGACACTGTGTCGAAAACACCACTTTCGCAAAGGGGTCTGAGAGCCCATTGTCGTCAGCGGCCAGGATCCCACGGGCTTGGTAAATGTGGGCCCGTAGCTGAAAGTAACGGCTGTCTGCAACAAGCAGGACACCCAAAGGGGAACACTGTGAGTCTTAGCATCTGGGTTCATGATGCATGAAGGAAAAACTTGCCAAGCGTAAATAACCCACAAGCTACAGAACCAGATGGATATGCATGCAGCTTTCACCATGACTGCTAAAGCTACAAGTGTATTCAATAAAGTCTCAAATAGTGTCAGGCTTTGGGTAAAACACTTCACTTAGCCATCCAAAGTGAAATATCTGTGAATATACAATATTTGCACCAAAAAAATTCTTTAAAAATATCAAACTGCAGAGCAAGAGCAAAAACCTTAAGGGATGAAAATAAATTGCAAATACTTTGTGAACCCAAAAATGTGTCACTGCAGATATCCAGAGCCCAGCTCTGACTTACCTTCACAGAGGAGCTTGGTAGGAGGCATGCTGGGTGGGATGGCCGTGCTGGACAGAGCCTCCTCGCAGACTGGCCGGAATTCAGCAGGAAGGCTACTTATGTTGTTCTTGGCATACTTAGTGACCCCGAGCCAGAAGTATACCTCTAGCTTGGCAAAAATCTCACCGATTGGTGCTCCTGGTGTCTAGGCGAAGAACAGATAATGCTTCAACTAACACAACTAAGCAGTTCTCAAAAAGCTTGGTTTGTTTCAGCATGCAGTGCATCAATAAGTGCCCTCTACATTTAAACGTGGAATTTTAAAACGAAAAAGGCACCTTCCTGCCAAAGGATCAGGAATGCACTGCTGAGAGTTGTGTCTGTATCACACGGGAACCAGACCAAACTGAAGAGCGATAGCTTATTAACGTATAGGCATCGGCGTTACCTTCATGTAGATGGTGGTGATTTTACCGCAGTCTTTGCCCTTCTCTTCCTCCACCAGGGAAAAAAGGATCGTGTGCGAGGGAATCCTGGCGAAGGCGATCCGCTTCCCTCCACTCATCATCCAGAGAAATACATCGGGCAGTGTGCTTTGGGGCTGCCGACACACGAGACACACGAGACACACGAGAGGGCCATTAACACCAGGCGTGTGACAGATGGCGGCGGGGAATAAGCATCAGGAGTCACAGGGAATAAGCATCAGGACAAGAATGTCGGCACTGTTAACATGAGGTACAGTTATTAGCATAAGAGCATCACAGCACTTTCATAGCACATTATAACGGAATACGACTGGCGTTATAACAGGACTATGCAAGGTGCTAGCATATCAGTTAGTCAAGCAGGAAGCGGAGGACGCAAGCAAAGTAATGCAGTAATTATACTGATCATTAGGACAGCTTTTGACACAACAGTCATTAGTATAGAGCAAAGGATGTCATTAGCATGTCGTTCAGCAAAGGAATATGGCAGCTGATAAGACTATTCATAATAAAAACTATTCAGCTAATACGTACGGCTGAGGATTCCTAAATCAACGTATTTTTGCTGTAACAACTTAAATGAAACTTCAAAACCAGTATGGGATATAGGCTCAAGGTTCGTACCTGACAAATATCAAAGTACATCTTTCTGCTGAAATTACCAGCCAGTATGAATGGAAATGTCATTATACGGGAAAAAATGAATTCTTGCACTGCTACAAAACCTAAATCCAACTTGTCGCCACTTAGGGGATATCGCAGGAAGCACTGGGCACACGGCTGGGGTGCACCCCAGACAGAATGCCAGTTTATCACAGGGCACATACTGGCACAGACCCTATAGGCAATTTAGAGATTAGCCAACTAGCTTTACTGCATGTCTATGGACTGTAGAAGAAAACAGAAGCTCCAGGAGGAATCCCACATGACAGCTAGAGAGCCTGCATACCCACACCAGAGCAGAACTGGCATTTCAGCCCCCCACCCCAGAGAAGTGAGGCCACTGTGAAATCACAAAAACCAGAATGAAATTACAACTTAGGTCAAGAAAGGCAGACATGCTAAGGTGCCGATGTATTAAAAGATGGGCATTAAATGATCTGGAGAACCTCCTGGGCCAAAAAGCGTATCTTCTTCAGGATCCTCTTTGCGTCACCGAGCTTCTCTTTGACGGTGCGGTTGGTGATTCTCCGTCGTGCTCTCAGGGCTTGCTTGGCCAAGAGGATCTGGGGAGATGGAAGGAAGCATCATACTTAAAATCAGACAACAAAGTGCAAAACATCCTACTGAAAGAGGCAATCAAAACATGTGAGGGAGTTAAGGCATCTGAAATAGCATATAAAATGAAGGCATGGTGTCTACATTTAATGTTATTTCGGAATGAACGAATGCATATGTGATGTTTAACGTTTACTCTCTGACCCGAACTCACAATGTTTTTCTTGATCAACTCCATGCGACATCTATCCAGGTTGTTCGCCCGCACCATCGTCTTTCGGTTTAAGCTCGAGCTGTACTGCCTTCGAGCCGTGAACATAAAAGCAAATATGCACTTTTTAAAACAAGACAAAGAATGGAAGATACACATCTTGGTTTGTTCTTGATCAAGCAAAGATTATTTCACCAAATAAAATTATTTTCTACAATTCATGATCCACAAATGTACCACAAACAGTACATGCTCAGAAATGCAATAATTCTCAAACTAATAACAGTTAAATACTGTTTTATTACATTAATGTTGAATAGTAATATATGAACCATTTAAGCTCTAAAAGTTTCATGCAGTAATCTTAAGTCAGTGACTGACCTGCTTTATATTTTTAATAGTTTATTTTTGTAATATTTCTGTTTTACAAGGGTTTTTCACAAAGGACCCCAAAATTAAAACAGACCATAGCTAGTGACCCCACCACTAATGAAAAGCAATTAAGGCTTAGATAAAGGAAGAATGGAATAGAAAATAGAATAGAATAGAATAGAATAGAATGCTTTTATTGTTATAGGTATAACAAAGTGCAAAAAAGGGGTTTTCCCATGAAAAAAAATGTCTAAAAATTGTGCAATCTTTCACACTGTGTAAACCAGATGATTATACCAACATTTCATCACTTACAATAAGTTTCTGCAGACTCGCTGAAAACCAATCTGAAAATCAAACTATTACATGGTGACTGCAAACTGAAAACCCCTTTGTCACACAGTGACTCCAAGCTGAAAACCCCTTTGTAACACAGTGACTCCAAGCTGAAAACCCCTTTGTCACACAGTGACTCCAAGCTGAAAACCCCTTTGTTACATGGTGACTCTAAGCTAAGAACTGTTTTGTTACACAAAGACAATCCCTTTGTTACACCTTGAGATTGACATGGGACTCACCTGCAGCTGGCCACAAACTCCAGCAGCACCTCCACTAGCCTCTCCTTGGCCTTACTCCTCGGCCTCTTGGTGAGTTTCTCTACCTCGTCGATTCCGTGTTCCTGAAAGAGGCATACGTCACAGGATTGCATTGCTGCAGAACCTGAAGTCAAGAGGCCGCCTTCACTGAAACACGGATTCCCAGATAGCTCACCAGCCGGTCTCCCATCTTGGAGAGCCAGTTGCGATTGTAAATGCGAAAGCTGTGATCCTCCCAGTAGTTCCACACATAGATACATGGCTTTTCTTGTAGTATTGGAATGCAACTGAAGGACCTGGAAGAGAGGGAAATGTGTGCATTTCATCTAAGGCAGATAGGTCCCCTATCTCACAGTTTGACTCTTCACAATCTTTTTCAAGAAATAAGTAGTTACAGTTTCCTCAGTAATCATCACTGAGATCCAGATTATTATTTAGTGCTGGATTATGGGAATGAAACAGAAGCCTGTAGCAGATTAACAGATAGAATAAGGCATAAGGTATTGCATATCCTCAACAGAAGGCTGGTCCCTCACACGGAAAACACAAATACACACAGGTTGCTAATTATATCTTTGTGGGGACTCTCTAATCCCAAAATAATGATCTTACCCCCTACCCAGCCCTAACTTTAACCATAAGTAACCAAACAAAATGCAATACTTTTGACATTTTCAGTTTTTTAATTGCAGTCACAGATTTGTATAAAATTGACCGGGAAATGGTCCCCGCAACATCAATATAACAGGTTTTTATCACACTGTGGGGACATTTGGACCCCACAATGTAATATATACATAACCCCCCCCCCCACACACACACACACACACACACACACACTCACACACATACACACAAACTGTGTGTATGTGTGTCAGAAATGCTATGTATGATCTAAGTATGTCACTGTCACAAAAATGTGCCTATATAAAATATAAAGAAATATATAAGCACAGTAAAACAGGGGGATGTATGATAGCATACAAAACAACACGCTTACACTCACACCACTGGTGAAATTTTCTGGTGAAAGTTTCATATCTGCAAATGTAGCACAATTTAGATGCATCACAGTGCAGTATCCTCCAATTAAAAGAAATTCAAATCAAAGAAACTTTTAAGTTGTCAGGGTCAGCACCTGTCCTCCCCAGGCTTTCACGTCTCTCTCCCATTTGGCCAGCAGGTGTTGCTGGCCATCCTGTCCTCCCTGTTGTCCTGATTGTGTCCCCCACCCAGACTGCCGCATAGCTCTATGGGCTGAGCATGTGACTATAAACCATTTGGTCATGAGTTTGAAACCAGCTTCCTCTTTATTTGTAATTATTGGATTTTGTTCCTCAGTGTTTCTTTCAGTTTTTTTGTTCACTTTTTGTTTGTGTTCTGGTTTGGGTTTTGCTAGGTGCCTGTGTCTGTGATTATGTATTACTCGTCTTTTTTATGTTCTTAGCATGTGATTCTGTTTCTTAGTTTCCCTGTTGGTCTCTTGGTTCCACGATTAAGTTTTTCTGACCCTCCTGTTTCCCTGTGTGTCATGATTATTCCACCTGATTGCTCGTTGTCCTGCACCCTCTTTGAATGGTTCATTGTTCCGTGTCTCACTCCTGCTGCTTTGTTACCCAGTTTGGTTTGTGTATTTGGTTGTTCCTGCCTTGATTCAGTTCTCTAATTGGTCATTATGTCAGAATGTGTGTTAGGTTTGTGCTAATGTTGCTGTGTTGTTACTTTGTTCCCTTGTCCACTTCTGCTCCCTATGTTGCTCTGCTCTCCAATTGTTTTTCTTGTAGTTATTTGTTGTTTTCCCATTTTGCTTTAAGACCTCTCATGATCTCTTTATTTTGTATCTGACTTTAAGAAATGTCATTAAAACAGTCCAGCTGCATGTATGTAATTATTATTAATGTGGAATTGTTGAAAGGATACTTTTATCTTAGTTGTATCACATCGATTACATTTAAAACTAGTAAGAGAAAAACACTACAGGCACTCCAGGGAGTTGAATGTGCAAAGTCTGCTCACAAGCCTAGTTTCATAATAACTATGCCAACTAAAGTCACTTACCTGTCATACTCCGTGGGCTGCGGTCTTCGGGGGGCAGTGACGGATTTGGCCGAAGGATCTGGGTCAGTGATCTGCTCTCTCTCCAGCTCGTCCTCTGAAGCATCCAGCAGTGGCTGCGTTTCCTCCCCTTGGCTCTCTGGGCCCACGCTCTTCTTGGATTTCACCACTACATCTGCTGCCTTGCCGTAGTTCCCTGTCCACAGAACGCACCCAACACGCATACATCTGTTCATATGACTCACATGCATGTCCAAAGAGCTCATATATACACTCCTGCACAAATAACCCATCTATCCCTCTACACACAACCCTTTTCACACACACACACAGACATGCACACGTCTCCATATGTTCACAACCAGAGCCGGATTGTGGTCCTGTGAGGCCCCTGGGCTCCTGTTGTTTGGAGGTCCCCCCAGTCATGGAGGGGGAGATGGAAGGACATACAGGTACAGTGTACATACCATGTAAAGGGTCTGGACTCTCATAACGTATGCCTGGGGGGCCCTGGTAATTGACTCTTGTTAATGTAGAAAATGTAGCTGATGGTCAGCTTGAACTCGTCATGCCAGGGGGGCTTGTGATTAACCTGTGCTGTATATATTGAGGGGCCCTGCGCTGCACATGCAGAAGGCCCTGGGGGCCCCTAGTGATTAACTTGTGCTGAATAGTCTGAGGGGTCC